CATGTATCGTGCATAGCACATAACTGATAGAATCGGTCAGTCTCGAGAGACCATGCCAAAGAATAATGCCATCCTGGGTAAGACGATAAACTACATCCAACAGCAAGGATCAGTTTTGAAGTGCATAAAACTACCTCTTAATTACTGGTGTTCCCAGGTCCAACCTGATCTGGGGTTGTAGAACCTGTTAGGGTCCCAGTTATGGGCAAATAGTTAAGCCCAAAACTGGGGTCAAAACACTATGAATGTGTAAAAATAGATTTTAATACCAGCAACACATTTTTGTAAAAATATTACCAGCAATGTATTTTTGAAGGAAAAAATATTATAAACAATACATTTTTGAAAAAAATATTACTAGCAATAAAAATCTTGTCAGCATTAAATAACCCATTGAGGTGTTGATATTCCGTAAACAAACCAAATCACTGAATGTTCAAGAAATCTTATTAAAGAAAAAATTTACACTCTGTTGCAGGATATGAACCTGAGTCCCTCTGGGCAGAGGGAGGTACTGTTAGATCTGTCATGCTCTCATCAACTGAGCTACAGAGTATCAGCCGATCTGTCAAGGCCAAATTTGTGCCTTTAAACGAAACTTCTCTCTCTCATAAATTCATCAGCCGTCTCTTCTACGCCAATAGCTTCATATCTCGCACCTCTCGCCTGTGGAACTCCCTTCCCTTTTCCTGTTTCCCTGATAGCTATAATCTCCAACTATTCAAATGTAATGTCAATCAACATCTCCAGTTGCCTCTATCCTTCTCCTCATCCTTTCCTCTATCACTCCTATCTGCTCTCGCTCCAAATCCTCTGTAACCCCTTGCATGCTAGTGGCTTACTGCCTTGCTTGGGGTGAAATGCTTAAAAAAAAAAAAAAAAAAAAAAAAACTGAAGTCTTCATTTTTATTGTTTGTAAGGGTTACTAATGTGGAGATTATTGTAATCTGTTTACAGATGGTTATCTTCAGATAATGTCTTTATTCCCAAGAGTTATGCCCTCTCCAAAGCACAGGCCTGGGCAGGGCCTTTTTTTATGAGAGATCAACAGTTCCGAAAGAAATTAACAATTCTCCAGTCTCTGGCCATCAGGTTGAGATCAAAGTGTAGTATCTGTTGCCTTCATCTCTAATGATAGCCCTTTCTTTATAAGCATTCATTGACAGAACAGCCAATGATGCTTTAGGTTGAAATTTATAAAATCTTCTTAAAACAATTTTTCAGGTAAGCAAGTCTCTCAAGTCCAGTAGCTTTTATCACTCTTTCCTGTATTGATGAGGGTTTCCTTCCTAACATCTTATTTGAAGTAGTGTGTTTTTACTTCAAGTTACATGTGCTATCCATTTTAGTTGTTGCTGCTGTTGAAAGTCCTCAAGTGATGTGGTTCCTGTTATTTGGTACAGTTCTTTGTTTGTAATCATGTAGCACTAGTCCATGAGGTTATATAAATATATATATATATATAGTCCCCAATTCAAAACTATTGGAACAACAAGGCCAATTCCTTTGTTTTTACACTATTTACATTATTCGGACTATTGTCCTTATGTTTGTCAAGGACGCATAGCACAGTGGATAAAGGCGTTAGTTAAATCCACTGACAGGACCCAAAGAGTGTGAGTTCAATACCTGGTTAAGGCAGTGGAGAACTTGGAGAGGGGAATTAACAGGAGATAACTGACAACTGACATCCATCAAACATGGCATGTGGAACTAGAACAATCTACCCCAGTGAGCGAAATAAAGCGTTCAATTCGACATTCCAACCACCTGATGATGGCTGGAGTGTACAACAGCCGAAACATAATAAATATGGCAACAAAGATGAGGACAATAGTCTGAATAATGTAAATAGTGTACATAATACCTCATCTCAGAAATATAGACAGATCCTTTGTTTTTGTTGTTCACTGAAAACATTTGGGTTCAAGATCAAAATATGAATACGAGAAAAGAGTTCAAAATTTCAGCTTTTATTTCCTTGCATTTAACATTTAAATGTGTTAAACTGTTTAGGACATACCATGTGACCTTTTGTATCAGATCGCCCCATTTTTAGGTGAGCAAATGTAAAGGAACAGATAACATTTAATATTTGGTTGCATAACTGCATCAAGCCTGCAACCTGTTGACATCACCAAACTGTTGCATTCATTTGCGATGCTTTACTAGATTTTTAATGCAATCTTGTAGCGGAACTGAAAGGCAGCAGTCTGTGGGTTCTTCTGAACTGACTACAGTTTGCCGTTCTAAGAGGCAACGAGTGGCATGCATAGCATGTAAGCAGAATAGTGGACGTTTACGCAAATGTAGCAACAGTCCCTGGCATAATGAAATACTGGACGGACGAGGAATGAAAAGAATGGCCTACCTTGGAAACGTCCACAAATCTGTGCATCATGTAAAGTCCGGTTGCTCAACGGCGAAAAAAGAATCAAAATGGCGGCACCCATGTTTTATGACAGGTGGTCTCGGATGACTAACGTGAAATCTCGTTGGCTAGTGATTCATATGTAAATTATGGTCGGTCCTCAGCTGTTGGATTGTTACGTCGGACAGTCGTTGAACTGGATTTTGGCTACAAGTGTTGTGGTTGATAGACGAATCTGTTGCACTTATTCCTACCGGAAGTTGACACTCATTATTTGTTTTCTTTTGCTTTTTCTTTTCTTTACCAACACAAATCTCTTTCAGTTCTTTTTGGGTGGTGGGGGTTCTTCCTTCAGTTTCCTCTTCAGGAGATGAAATGCTTGCTTTATTTGGTTAAGGTCCAGTGATTGACTTGGCCAGTCTAAAACTGTCCACTTTTTTTTTTCCTGATAAAATCCTTTGTTATGTTGTTTGGTCATTGTCCTGCTGCATGATAAACTTCCTCCCAATTAGTGTTGATGCATTTCTTTGTAAATTGGCAGACAAAATTTTTCTGTAGACTCTCTGAATTCATTCTGCTGTTAGCATCATGAGTTGCATCCTCAATAAATATAAATGAGCCTGTTCCAGAAGCAGCCATGCAAACCCAAATCAAGACATTGTCTCCATCATGCTTCACAGATGAGCTTGTATGCTTTGGACCATAAGCAGATCCATTCTTTCACCACACTTTGGCCTTTTGACCTCATTAATCCATAAAACTTTCAGAACTTTTGTTGTTTATCTCTGTAATTCCTTGCAAATTCCAATATGGCCTTCCAATTTTTACTACTGATGAATAGTTTACATCTTGTGGTATGACCTTTATATCTTCAAACACTAAACTATAAAACCTTCACCCCTGCTCTATGGAGGTTGTTGGTGATGTCACTGACTGTTGTTTGGGATTTTTTTCCTCACAGCTCTAACAATGTTTCTGTCATCAACTGCTAGCCTCTTATATGCCTGTTGATCACTACACTAATAGTTTCTTTCCTTTTTAGGACATTCTAAATTGTTGCGTTGGCTGTGCACAATGTTTGTCAAATGGCTCTGATGAATTTTCTTTCTTTTCTCAGCATCAAAATGGCTTGCTTTTCTCCCATAGACAGCTCTCACATCTTCATGCCAGTTTATTCTTTCTAACAAGAAATGCAGTCTTTACAGATGAAAACCAAGACTAAAACCAAGAGTAGTCATTCAGAGCTATTTAATATTTAAACAATCGGTTTAAAAGGCAACACATGGGCAACAAGAAACACTTGTCAGTCATATGTTCCAGTAGTTTTGGTCAGTTGAAAAATGGGTGGGTTCAAACAAAAAGTGGTATGTCCTAAGTTGTTTAACACATCTAAATGTAAATACCAGGAAACAAAAGTTGAAACTCTGAACTCTTTTCTCATATTCCTCTTTTGATCTTAAACCCAAACGTCTTCAGTGAACAACAAAAGCAAAGGAATTGATCTTGTCATTCCAATACTTTTTGGAGGTGACTATACACACACACACACACACACACACACACACATATATATGTGTGTGTATGTATCTCTATCTATAAAAGGTAGGATGTGAGTGTGTGTGTGTGTGTAATGAATGCATTGCCGCAATTTTCGACGGCAAAATTTACATGCACATGCTCCAAGTTAGCACCAAAATTTACATGCACATGCTCCAAGTTAGCAGGAAGGCCAAGACTAACTTTGCTTTTCCCAACTCCCATCGATAGTGGAAATAATCGATTTTTTTCATGCTTCTACAGCAGTTGTCATGTAGTTTGTGGCAATTTTGTACTAGCCAGAGTGAGAGCCTATAGCTGGCTGCCACAAATAGGCAGGAAGATTCTATTGGCCAGCATAAGAGCCAACAGCTGACTGACATGAATGTTAACTAGCATGCTAGCATGCAAAAAAAAAAATAGCTGTATTCGTCACAAATGGGAAAAATTTAAATCTGCTTGGCACTTTACTCCAATTAACTCATTCGCTTGCTTAAACTCAATGTTGATTCTGATTCCGCAGAACTGGGTTGGGTGTGAAAAAGTATTTGTTGTTAACATTCTTTTTTCATTCGGTTTTTCCAGTTACGAGTTCTTTTTTAAAGCTGATCATTTTGTGTTCATTTTGTTTAGTTCTTTTTTTGTAACAGATTTAATGTTTAGTATAGAGCTTAGAAAAAATTTGCAGTGTGAGATAGGCAAGAAGTAAGGCATGTAGCAACATCAGCACGGCAAAGGGCACTCCTTTAAAGGCAAGGAAGGGCAAAAATATTTTAAGTCAATTGCTGTATGAGTCATACGATCTTTGAATTAAGCATGGGCAATGCCGAGCCATGCTTCTAGTATATATATATATATATATATATATATATTTATATATATATATATATATATATATATATATATATAATGAATGCATGCATGTATTTTTTATATAATTTTATAATATGGTTATATCTATTTTGAGTGGATGTTTTCTCCAAAAGTGAAAATGAAAAAAAACTATTTTTTTAATATAAAATTTAAAACCTCAAATTAATTTAAAATTTAGAACCTCACTATTTCAGCTTTTGTTTTTTGTTTTCCTTTTCAGTTCAAAGTTGATTTTGACACTCTGCCGTCTGTTTTCACTGCAATTTTCAAAGATTTAAAAATTGCTACTGAAGAATATTATGTAAGTTTTCATTTCTTTTATTTTTATTTTCATTTTATTTCACATCCCCACCCACAACTTTGATTTCAAACTGCAGTGAACCAATTCAAATGTCTTTCAGATAAATAACCCTTTTTTTGTCTCCTTGATAAGTGTTATAGCTGATTCATTCTTCAACCTTCATCAAATCTATATTCCATAAGAAAAAAAAAGAAACTTTGTTTTTCTTTCAAGGTGTTTAAAATTATTCTGAATTTGTGGCATCATACAGTAGACACTGCGACCAGAAATAAGAATTTTTTTTTTCATATTATATAAAGTAAACATTCTAGATCACATATATAATTTTTTTTTCAGTTTGCTATGTAAATTAATTGTAAATTGCACTCCTTACAGAAGCCAAGACAAAATATTCTCATACCACATGATTTCTTAAATTGAAAACTTTTTAAAATTTGAAATTCATGATCTAGAGTTAATTTTTAATATATTCCTACCAATTAATCACTCCAGGTTATAAGTTTTAAAAATGGAATTTTTTTTTTCAACACGCTCAAACCTGCTTCCTAAATATTGGTTTTCAATGTTCAAGTAACCGTAACCTACTCTGTCTATTTTGCCATAATATATGATGATATCATCACAAATAACATAGGAAGTCATGCAAACAATGAGATTTTGGGATATCATCACAAATATTACAGGAAATCATGCAAAAAGTAAGACTTTGAGATATCATCACAAATAATGCAGGCAGTCATGCAAACAATGAGATTTTGGGATATCATCACAAATATTACAGGAAATCATGCAAAAAGTAAGACTTTGAGATATCATCACAAATATTACAGGAAATCATGCAAAAAGTAAGACTTTGAGATATCATCACAAATAATGCAGGAAATCATGCAAACAATGAGATTTTGGGATATCATCACAAATATTACAGGAAATCATGCAAAAAGTAAGACTTTGAGATATCATCACAAATAATGCAGGAAGTCATGCAAACAATGAGATTTTGGGATATCATCACAAATATTACAGGAAATCATGCAAAAAGTAAGACTTTGAGATATCATCACAAATAATGCAGGAAGTCATGCAAACAATGAGATTTTTTTTTATCATCAAAAATTACAGGAAATCATGCAAAAAAATCTTTTATGTCATCACAAATAATGCAAGGAAGTCATGCAAACAATGAGATTTTGGGATATCATCACAAATATTACAGGAAATCATGCAAAAATAAGACTTTGAGATATCATCATTTATAGGAAAAATGCAAACAATGAGATTTTGGGATATCATCACAAATATTACAGGAAATCATGCAAAAAAAGACTTTGAGATATCATCACAAAATAATGGCAAAATATGCAAACAATGAGATTTTGGGATATCATCACAAATATTACACAAAATCATTTTCAAAGTAAGAGATTTTGAGATATCATCAAAATAATGCAGGAAGTCATGCAAACAATGATAAATTTTGGGATATCATCACAAATATTAAAGGAAATTATGCAAAAAAAAGACTTTGAGATATCATCACAAATAATGTAGGAAGTCATGCAAACAATGAGATTTTGGGATATCATGGGAACAAATATTACAAAAATCATGCAAAAAGTAAGACTTTGAGATATCATCAAAATAATATATATATAGTCATGCAAACAATGAGATTTTGGGATATCATCACAAATATTATAGGAAATCATGCAAAAAGTAAGACTTTGAGATATCATCACAAATAACATAGGAAGTCATGCAAACAATGAGATTTTGGGATATCATCACAAATATTACAGGAAATCATGCAAAAAGTAAGACTTTGAGATATCATCACAAATAACATAGGAAGTCATGCAAACAATGAGATTTTGGGATATCATCACAAATATTACAGGAAATCATGCAAAAAGTAAGACTTTGAGATATCATCACAAATAACATAGGAAGTCATGCAAACAATGAGATTTTGGGATATCATCAAATATTACAGGAAATCATGCAAAAAGTAAGACTTTGAGATATCATCACAAATAACATAGGAAGTCATACAAACAATGAGATTTTGGGATATCATCACAAATATTACAGGAAATCATGCAAAAAAAGTAAGACTTTGAGATATCATCACAAAACATAGGAAGCATGCAAAATGAGATTTTGGGATATCATCACAAACAAAATCATGCAAAAAGTTCAACTTTGAGATATCATCACAAATAACATAGGAAGTCATGCAAACAATGAGATTTTGGGATATCATCACAAATATTACAGGAAATCATGCAAAAAGTAAGACTTTGAGATATCATCACAAATAATGCAGGAAGTCATATTTACAATGAGATTTTGGGATATCATCACAAATATTACAGGAAATCATGCAAAAAAGTAAGACTTTGAGATATCATCACAAATAATGCAGGAAGTCATGCAAACAATGAGATTTTTTATATCAAAAATATTACAAAATCATGAAAAATAAGACTTTTGAGATATCATCACAAATAATTTAAGTCATGAAACATGAGATTTTGGAACAAATCACATTTTATGAACATGTTTTCTTTTGGCATTTTACATAGAGGGGATCAATTTACAATGAATTTACATGGCAGCCCTATTAACTTTTATAAAATTGGATTTTTTTTTTTTTTTTATTTGTAGGTCTAATGAATTAGATTGTGATTACAATTCCAATGTAATAAATTATAACCATGGAATATTAGAGTTTAAACTTTTTATATTATATTCTTGCTCTGTCTTGTACATAGATCTCTACCTGGATTTTATCCTCTTGGAAATTATATATATATATATATATATATATATATATATATATATATATATATATATATATATATATATATATATGTATAATTTCATATCTATATATATATATATATATATATATATTTTTTTTTATTTTTGAAACCCATATCACCACTTCAAATGCATCTAAGCTGTAATGAAGCTTAGCATCAACATTTAACTTTATTCTAACTGAATTTTTGGCCTTTCAATTAAAACAAAATAAATAACAAAACATATGTATTTTTCCTCAGTTTCTTCTTTAAATAATTTTATATTTTAAACTTAATACAGATTAAATTTAAAATTAGTAATATTTAATTTTCAATTTTATAGTAAAATTTAATATCAATTAGAATGATTTCTATTTTAGTCTAACGCTAACATTAAAGCATTAATTATTATAAGCAAGGTTTTTTGTCAAAGTTTTTTTAAATTCTCATATACTTGTATTTTGATTGGTCATTCCAGCTTATATAACAACGTTTCCCCTAACGAGGGGTGTTTGATTGATTTGAACTTTTTAAAACCCTTTATTCTACATTTAACACCATCACTTGATAAGAGACCAGAAGTGTTGAAACAAAATGGCTATTTTTGTAGTGATTTTATAACATATTTATGCTATAATTTTAGAATAAATTATATATACATATATATGGTCTGGTGTGCTTAATTTATAGTAATATGAAAAAATTATTTTTTTAAATGATTATTTCTGACTGTATTTTTCTAAAGAAAGTAATGGATTTTTATTAATTCGACAGAATCCTTATCCCTTTAAACATTATTTTTTGTGGATACTCATATATGAATAGACGCTCTTTTTATTTATTTATTAAACAGTATATTTGTTTTGTCTATTGGCCTGAATGTTCAAGTGTCCTGGGTATGACGATAAACTATGTCCGACAACAAGGCCTCTGATCAGGAGGTTTTGAGCATGGAACCACCTCTTAATTGCTAGTGTTCCCAGGTCCACCCTGACCTGGTGTGGTAGCACCTGTAAGGGTCTCAGTTATCGACAAATAGTTAGCCACCAAACTGGGATCAAAACTTGTTGTTATGGTCTGGTTCCTTGTACCACGGTGATAGTCCAAGGTAGAACCAGTAAAGAAGAAATCGATGGTGGATATGGAATAACACAGATATATTACAAACAGGAATATATACAGAGGTAGAAAAGTGTTAGTACGAACAATCAGGTTTAGTAGTATTTGTCTGAATGCGACTCTGTTTCAGACTGCCTCTGACTTGACTGACTGACTGACTAACTCGCTCTGACTGACTGACAGACAAACTCCTGACGGACTTCACTCCAGACTTCAGACTGAACTCTCAGACTTCAGACGGAACTCCTTGCTTCCTCTTGAGGCGCAGTATTTATTACATATGGAATAGTCCATTATGTTATCATGGGTAAGGTCCCATAACACTTGTAAAAATAGGTTTTAATACCAGCAATACATTTTTGTAAAAAAAATATTACCAGCAATAAATTTTTAAGAAAAAATTATTACCAGTAACACATTTTTACCAGCAATACTTTTTGGAACAAAATATTGCCAGAAATACATTTGAAAACATTTTACCAGCAAATAAAAATCTTGTCAGCATTAAATAAACCATTGAGGTTGATATGCCATAAAACAAACCAAACCACTAAATGTTCAAGAAATCTTATTAAAGAAAAAAATTTACACTCTTTTGCACAATTTGAACCTGTGTCCCCCTGGGCAGATGGAGGTACTGTTAGATCTGGCATGCTCTCATCAACTGAGCTACAAAGTACCAGCTGATCTGTCAAGGCCAAATTTGTGCCTTTAAATGAAACTTCTCTCTCTCATAAATTCATCACTGAAGTCTTCATTTTTATTGTTTATAGGGATTACCAATGTGGGGATTATGGTAATCTGTTTACAGGTGGTTATCTTCAGATAATACCCTTATTCTCAATCTGCACCAAATTTTGACCTTTTAAGAATGCATGCAAAGATAATTAGTACAAATATATATTTTGCATGTACTGATAAAAATTTTATATCTCTTAAAATATACATTAATTAAAGAGTTCATAAGTTTATATCAGAAAGTTCTCATGTTGAACGTCTAAGTCCCTTTAACATACAATAGAGAGAGAAGAGAGTCTTTGTAAATGTGTATGTTTGTATGTAGGTATCTAGTTGATAGTCGTAATCTGGTAGACTCTCTGTGGAATTTTTAAGTGCCTGAAAATGTCTGCATGGGAGAACAAACAAAATTCTTTCATCAACTCTCTGGTTCCTTTCCCTGGTCATCTCTTTGTGTTTTTCACTTTTTTTTTTTCTGTTGGAATTTATTCCAGAATTGTTTCTTGATTTCTGATTTGTTCACAGATGTGACTCATTTGACCATCCTTTATTCTTCACCTAGATTTAGAAAATGATGACCTTTTGGTCTCTTTTATTTATTTTTTTTTTTTTTTCTTATCTTTTTGTTTTTATTTCTTTATGGCAAAACAAAATGGTTTGCCAACTTTTAGTTTTCTATTTTTTTATTTATTTTTTTTTTTTTAAATAGTAAACTTTTTATTTTTCTGTCACTATGCACTTAATAGAAAAGTAAAAAAAAATCATGAAAAACAAACCAATTTAAATATTTATCCTATCCAAAATGCATGTGTAAGATTTTTTTATTTAATTTATTTATTTTAATCGATATATATATAAAACAGAGGATGTCTGTGTCTGCATGATACCTTTTCACTGAAGATCCATCCAACCGATTTTCACCAAACTTGGCACATACATTGTACAATGTAAAACATAGGTTCTTAGCATAAAAAATTGATAATTTTTAAAAAATCAATAATCGATAAAGCCGATCAAAAATCAATAAATTCAACTTTTTTCCTCCAATTTCGTTCAAACTTGGTATGTAGGTTACTTACATCATGACAAGCTCAATATCTCATTTTTATTTCTAAGCCACTGCATTTAGTGAAAAACGAAAAATCTTTTTCTTTTTTTTTTTTTTGCAAGCACAAATGTTAAACATTGCTAACCAGAGATATTTTTTCTTATCTTTTAGTTTTTATTTCTTTATGACAAAACAAAATGGTTTGCCAACTTTTAGTTTTCTACTTTTTTATTTTTTTTTTTTAAATAGTTAACTTTTTATTTTTCTGTCTATATGCACTTTATATAGATACCTCCACAAGATCGCTAAAAAAAGAGCATAGCATGAAGAAAAAAGACGCCAAACTTGACGAAAACAAAATTTTATCGTCTAAATGTTTGTTATTATTAAGAGGAAAGGTCAAAGTATTTTTGGGGTATTTTTTTCCATTTTTTAATCGTTCCTAGCACGTCCGATTAAATTTTCGTTAAAAATCTATTTTTTTTTTTAGTCAGCAAAATTGACCATTTTTTTCCATTTAAAAAAAAAAAAGATGAAATCTGACTTTGAAATTTTTTTAAATATCAATTATCATTTTTTTCAAAACTTATTTTAAGAAAATCAGAAATTATAATGTTTATTTAAAATATTTTGAACCAAACTTAACTTAGCTTTTGTGCCAAAAAAGATGTAATTTGAAAATAAAACAAAGCAGGTCATAAACTTTCGCATCTCTTGACATGTGATGAATGATATATTTACGAATTCCATGAGGCTAATTTGTTCTACTGGAAGGAGAAAAAGTGAAATAATTTGCATTTACGTGAACAAATTATTTACCCGTTATTTTAAGGAAAACTTTCAGCGCTTAAATTTTTTACTTTTAGTTTAAATAACAAATAATTGTATTAAAAATTCATTTTTCATCGAAAAAAATTTTTTGCTTTCAGAAAATATTGTCCATATTCATAAAAAAACAACTAAAAGCAAATAAAAGCATTTGAAATTAAATAATATCTTTGTTTTATTGAGTTTTGTATGTTACAATTCAGAGCTGATTTTCCAGGTACTGCGTATCCAATTAAAAAAAAAAAAAAAAAAACATGATTTGCATTCCTCAAAGCCCTGTGCTTTTAATTATTGTAATCACTAAAACCGATGCGATCAATTTCTAAGCGTTTTCATAAAATTAGTTATGGGGGGTGTAATAAATATTTAAAAAAAATATTTCTACCATGACTTTAAAAAAAAAAAAAAACATATTTATAATAATTTCGATCATCTGTGAATAGTTTCTGAAAGTTTCATTAACATCCGATAATTATTTTATATTTTTGCAAGATTTTTCAAATTAATGTGTGTCATACCAAAAAAAAAAAAACTAAAAATTGTCTATGTTATTTACTAGTTCCGCTGATACAAATAGAAAAAAGGTTTTTTTAATCAAAATTTAGAATGTTCTAAAAAGAAGGAAAATTTTTTAAAAATAATTAAAAAAAAACTTTGGTCTTTCCTTTTAATAATAACATAAGCATTTTTAGACAATAAAATTTTGTTTTCGGCAAGGTTGGCGTCTTTTTCATCAAGCTATGCTCTTTTTTTAGCGATTTCGTGGAGGTACCTAACTTTATAGAAAAGTAAAAATGTCAAAAAACAAACCCGTTTAAATATTTATCCTATCCAAAAAAAATATAAATTTTTTTTTATTTAATTTATTTATTTTAAATTTAATATTTTAATGTTTTTTTTTTTTTTTACTTATATTTTTTTTCCGTTTTTTATTATTGTTGTTTAAAAAAGTACAATTAATTTTCCGGCTTCAACTGATTACAACATGAAATAATCCTCTTTAAACAAACCAATTGACTTGTCAGTCATTCATTGTCGTAGATCAGCAACAATCTAATTAACGAGCGTCATTTTTAAACACTATTTTTTTCAAATTATGCAGTACCATTCAGGTATGAAAGTTATCTCCCTTTAATTTTCTTGTAGTGTGTTGTTCTACAATACGTAATTACATACGCAAAACAGTTACAATCATATTTACAATTTACTACATTTCTAACTTTTAATTTTTTGCTGAAGTAACCATTCGAACAAGTGAAGACTTAATTTAATTAAAGGCTTCGGTGAAGCTATTTTTCGGACAAATGACATTAACTGCTATGAAGCGGACCAAACGTAAAAGAGAAACAAGGGAAATAACTTTGTCATTGAGTTATGTCCCTTTAACAAGTTTTATGTTTGTAATATTGTATTGTGAACTTTTTATATCAACCTAAAATATTCACATAAATGAACATTTTTTTTTATTTTTATTTTTTCTTAGGTGATGTTAATTTTACCCCTGAACATCAGAGACGAAGAAAAATCCATCCTAATGAATATTTTGATCAATCAATTCAAAGTTTGTGGAGTATGCATGGCCCCACAAGCCCTTCTGGCTTTATATTCATACAATACTCAATCTGGAATTATTGTTGATATTGGAGAATAATCTCTTGAAGTTCTTCAATCTATGAAGGTAAATTTTATTTTGTCGTTATCTGAATCATAGTAATGGTTATTAGTATTGAAAATTGAATCAGATATAGCAGGGTTCAAGTTCTGACATAACATGTTGCATTCAGTATTGCTCTTTACAAACCAATTTCTTTTTCCTCCAGCTATGGGGTTTATGGCCACATCCCATTGAAGCACCATCTCCCGTATGATCACCAAAGTTAAGCAACATCAAGCTTGGTCAGTACCTAGATTGGCAACCATTTGGAAATTTTTTGGCTGTAAATACATATATGTATATATAAATGATAATATATATATTTTAATCAGATATATGAGTTTCAATATCCCATTGTGTTTATTATATTGACCTACGTGCAAATACTCTTAGGAAAGATATGAATCCACCTCTTCTCCCCCCGGCTATGGGTTAATTAGTAAGACTTGTATCACCAAACTATTATTATCACACAAAAAAAATTTATACAATCTAAAAATATTTGTCTGGCTTTAAATAAACCTTCAAAAGTTGATAACTCATAAAAAAAAAACAAATCAACCCATCTATGGGTTAAAATATGGGAGTAGACTGTTTTTTTTGCTCTGGTGAAAATAGTATAGAGCTGGGTGTTTTATTTCAAAACAAAGAAATTGTGCATGATCAACACCAGTGAAGGCCCATTGGTGGAAGCGTATTTTATCATATTAAAATTAGTTTGCATTGCATTCACAAATATGGTGGTCAAAAAATTTTGAACGAGGTGGGGGTCAGTTTTTCCCTAATATGAGTTGTCAAATTTATTTGCCTAGAATTAATAAAAATAACCTAAACATTGTCAACAGCTACATTTATACTCTCTCGTCAGGTAGCTGATGAAGAATTTGTGTGTTTGGAGGAATTTTAATTTTGTTTAGTTTTTCCCTCAGCCTCTAGAAGGAATTTTCAAAAATTGTCTGCTGGTCTTAAAATTGATTGGACTAACTCTTTGCACTTCATGGTGGAAGTCAAGCTCAACACTGCTACTGGAAAGGGTGAAGGACAAATTGGCTGCAAATATGACAGTCTGTGGGCCACATATTCAGAACACCTGGTCTCAGAATAAGGCAGCCCTTAATATAAAATTCTGGTAAAACAGGAAACCATTCTACTATCTTTTGAAGAAGCTGTGATGATTCAAAGATAAAAAAAGAGGACTACTTAAATAGAGCGGAAACTTTTTTTCTGGTGTTAATTTTTAGACATCAGTATTCATTGGCTTTTCCTCAAGCCACATTTGACAGAATAAAAAATATTGACCTTTTTTTAATGATTTAGAAGGTGGTTACCTATATACTTGGATACATGTATTTGTGCATGTGTGTCTGTATGTTAGTTTGTATATATATGTGTGTGTGTGTGTATATATATATATATATATATATATATATATATATATATATATATATATATATATATATATATATATTGTTCCCAAATATACATATGTATATATTTGGGTAAATGTGGTATTTTTATATGTTTTTTTTTATTCAAAATAGATTTAGGAGGCACAGAGGAGGAATCAAAACCAAGTTCAAATTCCAATCAATCCATTAATGATTTAAAATTATACCCTTTGGGAAAGACTATGAATCCTTTCTTCTCCCCCTTCTGGGCATCTTTTGTTTAAGTTGGAGAAACGCTGCCATAATGCTTTCTTTTTCAGTTTATTTTGGTGTTACAATCAGTTTTGTTAGTCAGATCACTCAACTGGTTTCCATGTGACAATAATGAAGAATAGTTGCAGTCTGGAGAGGTAGATGGCCATATATAAAATTGATGTGGTCCAATTTATTGTCTAAAGCCATGAATGTGTTCTGCTGTTTAAATTAATGGCGCAGAGTCCTGTTGCTAAACATATAGGGTCTTCCATATGAAACCAACCTTTCTTGACCCAGAGTTCAGCACTACCTCCTCAAAAACTCATGTAATTCTTATGTTGAGTCTGAGGCCCCGAAATGCTAAAAAGCATGAATGGAGGCATTTATTCACTAATCCCTCAAACTCCAATGTTGACTGGATATTTGGTTTTCATCATTTAATGGTAATCTTTTTTGATGATCATAAGCAAATTTTTTTTCTACTGTTTCAAAATCTTATCCAAACAGAAATTTTATCATCTTAGAAAAACATGGCATGTTCAGTTGGAGGAATGCTTTTCCGTTTGTTCAAAATAATTGTAAATTGCAGTATTTAATTGTCCTTCAAGACTTGGAATAAAAATAATATTTTTTTCAAAGATCTTTTGGTAAATTTTGAATGTCTTCATGCAATTGTTTGCCTGATAAGAAACTTTAGGACACCAAAATGTCCCTGGCTATGGATCTGATTGACTTGAAATAATTGTTGTCAATTATGGCCTGGATCTCGCCAACAAATTCAGGAGTTCTTTTCTTACTAGAACGATCCGAGTGCGTTTTCTGAGCTGCTGTACCTTTGTAATCATCGTTGGACTCATCCAACTGTTTCAGAAGCCTCTGCACTGTCCTCAGATTGACACCCAAACAATCTGCAAATGCCAAATATTATATATATATTTCCAAATTTCTGGTAAATGAAATTATGTCATGGTGCGCTTTTATTTATAGAACTGACCCTACTATACTGTGCAGTCAACAAAATCAAAGACAAATAACAAGCATGAAATTAAAAATATAAAAATGGGTTTAATTTAATATCTCATCCTGCATATGTTTGTATATATATATATATATAATATCAGATATATAATTATAAAATAAAAACTGACGATTCAAAGCAGGATATAGAACAGCCTGCCGCCTCTGATGTTGAAAGGCATGTTCAAAAGTTATTATTTAAAATGTTTATAAAAAACCATCGGTAATATTTTATTTCATGAATATATAAAACATGGTTTAAAAACTATATTTCTTCATATATATATATATATATATATAAAAGTTAACTTTCTTGAAAAATTTTAAGAATCTGTTTTGATCAGTCTTACTCTTATGTCCATAGTCTTTTTCATGTTGAATTGAATATAGTCTAATATTAATTATGTTTTATGAATATGTCCTGAAGATGGTCTACTAGACCAAAACGTCCGACGTTGATATTAAATTAACATTAAAAAAAGCATAATTGAATTATTAAAATCCGTTATAATTTTTTTTAAATTTTTCCGAATATTTTTTTTCAGAATATATATATATATATATATATATATATATATATATATATATATATATATGAAAAAATATAAAATTATTCAAAATATATTTATGGAATAATATTTATTCAATATCATATATATATATATATATAAATATATATAAATATGAATATATGAAATATATATATATATTTACATAAATGTTTAAAAAAATAAACATAAATGCAATCGTTTAGGCCATGTTATATATATATATATAAATATATATATATATATTTCTTCAAATATTGATTAAATATATATATATATATATATATATATATATATATATATATATATATATATATATATATATTTGGTTGATAGATGTGAGTTTGTGACCCTGGGTTTCACGCTTTAGCGATCGTCAGACAAACTGATTAATGTTTTAAAAATTTGGGTTTATGTAGATTGCGTGTATTGGTGTTATTGTGGAAGTGGTGGGGAAATTTCGTCGTTTTGTCATTCATCGTACTAACGCAAACATCGATGTATGCAGACACATATACATACTTGGTCGTCCGTCAGGACTCATACATATATATAAACATATGTAGACAGTTTCGGCTATGACACATGTATGTATACAGGTGGTGTTATGTCTATACATACGCATTTGTATGTTGAAATGTTGAAATTTAAACATTGGAAGTGTGGCGGAAATGTCTCGTTAATGTCTCGTGAATGTATCCATGTCATATTATGAAATTTTTTTTTTTTTTTTTTTATTGAAAAATATTTTCTCGCATGTATGTATATATGTGTGGTGGGGTTTGTGTAAAATTATGAAAGGTAAAAAAACTTATTATTATAATTATTTATATTTATTTTTAAATTTTTTAAAAAAATTTTTTTATTTTTTATATTTAAAAGCTGGTTATTTGTTTGTTTTTGGTGACTGTGTATATACAACAGGTAAAATTAAAATTTAAAATAATAATCCTTATTGTTTTATTATATATAAAGATATTAAAAAAATAAAAAATATACCAAAAAAAATATTTTTAAAAAAATAAAAAAATATTTAAGCAAAGGCTTTCAAAACAAATAACCAGCTTCATACACTTCCAATGTTTAAATTTCAACATTTCAACATACAAATGCGTATGTATATAAATAACACCACCCGTATACATACATACATGTCATAGCCGAAAAATGTCTACATATGTTTATATATATATGAGAATCCCAACGGACGACCAAGTATATATATATGTGTCTGCATACATCGATGTTTTTACGTTAGTACGATGAATGACAAAACGACGAAATTTCCCCCACCACTTCCACAATAACACCAATACACGCAATTTACATAAACCCAAATTTTTAAACATTAATCAGTTTGTCTGACGATCGATAAAAGCGTGAAACCCAGGGTCACAAACTCACATCTATCCAACCAAATATATTATATCTATCTCTATATATATTATATTTATATTTAATAATATTATCGTATATAAAAGGCCTATTATATAATTATATATATATATATTTATTTAAGATTTATATTTATTTTTTCAATAATATATATATATATATATATATATATATATATATATATATATATATAATATTTATTTATATATATATGTCGTTTTTACTTATATT